CGGCAGCCGCTGGCTCCAGTCCGCCGCCATTATTCTTTGTTCGCTGCGAGCGGCGGCGATGTTGTGGGGCTCGGGCGGAGGCTCCATCTTTACCGCGGCCCCTCCTGCGAGGGGAAGGCCCCGAGCGCGGGTGTCCGGCGCCTCCCCGTCCCCCCTCCGTCCCCCCGGCTCTCTCTGGCTCCTGCCTCCTCCTCCTGCTCCTCTTACCGGTGGTACAAGCTCCTCCGTCACTGCTTTCGTTCGCGGCCCGGATCTCGCTGGAGTTTTATTCTCTCCCCCACGTAACACACCGCGTCAAACTACACCTCCGCCGCGTCACTCACCAACACTCCGCTTCTCCCAGCCGCCCGGGCCACAGGCAGCAGCAGCCGCCGCCGACTGAGGAGCCGCAGCCAGGGAGCCAGCCAGCGCCGCCCAGTGCCGAGTGCGCAGCGGCCGCGCACGGAAACAGCCGAGCTCGGCCCGGAGGAGCTCGAGCGGCCCCGCCCTCGCGCTGGAGGCGGAACTTGCCGAAGGCCTTCGGGCTTCTTCGTCCGAGGCAAAGGGGTTCCGCCGGGAGTAGGAAGGCGAAGGTGGGCTGGGACCCGCAGGGGGAGGAGTGGTCTAAGCCCCAGAGCGGCGTTTCGACAGATAAAACTGGGTGGCGGAAATTTGAAAGAGGAAGTGGGGTTTATGTGCGGTAGGGTGGGGAATTCCCGAGGGGTTTCGGCGACTCCGTGGAAACCCCCTGCGGGCCTGCCCCTGCGGCGGTGAGCGGCGGGCCGGGCCCGCGTCCTTGAGCGCCGGCGGCCGGGGAACTTTCACATGCTGCCGGGACCTGGGAGACGCGCTGCGGCGTCTGGGATGCGGCTGAGTGCGGGAGTCAGGCGAGTTGGGGAGGAAGGGCTGTCGCGGCTCTGCAAACGCCCCCAAGGCCTCAGGCAGGACCAGGCGCTGGGACCGGAGGCCGCTGAGCTGTCTCGGCGCGGCCCGGGGGCGTCGCGGGCTTTCCGTGGAGAAAGTTTTCCGCCTCTCTCGGCAGGCCGGGCGGCCTCGCTCGGAGAATCAGCTGAGAAACTTGGCTGCAGCCAGGGGGACTATTCTATTTCGGGCGTAGGGGGTGGGGAGGCTCTGGGCGCGGACAGCCAGGGTCATCTTCGGCCCTCCAGGCAAATGACCTGCCCTGACCGAGGTTGCTCTTCGACACTTTCAAAATGTCTTCCCTCCTCCTCTGCCTGCCCACCTTTTTTTCTGGCACCATTCTGTGTCGCTTTCTTTTCACAGCCCGTTTTCTACAGCTATGGTTTGCACCCACTGCCACCCTTTACTGCCGACTCCCATTCTAAACCCTACAGTGTGACTTCCGTTGCTTCGAAGCTACTGAAACTGCTCACTCAGAGGTCGCCCAAGGCCACGATGCTTACTTTTCATTCCTTTTATTGAACTCTAAATTCCTCCTTTATAATTCTCTTTCTGTCCCTTAAAGCAAACCTGTCTTTAGGAGGCAGATCGAGCTGGTCCAAATCTGAGCTCCGCCCCTTATTGGCTTCCTGTTGCAAAGAAAGTTGTCCTTCCTGGTACTTTGTTTTCCCCCTTCCTGGTAGTCTTGATTGATCACCTCCTGCTTTCTCAAGCACTTTAGGCTGAAGAGTATCCACCTTTCCTTCTGTTATTTTCAATCTTTCTATCTTTACTGGCTTTCCTGTTTAGTATTTAAACATGCTTAAATCTCACATTTCTTTAAAGATTTCTTTTAAATCCCTCTCCAACCATGACTCCAGGGTCTCTTACACCATGGACATTGTCATGTTCCACTTCTTAACCTTATGCAGCCTAGCTTCTGTTTCTATCGCTCACTTGAAGCAGCTCTGATTTGTCATAGAGAAGCTTCAGTCATCATCTTACAGGATTTTATTCTAGCATGTGACACTATTGACCACACCTTCATCCAAATGTGCTCTTCTCGCTGCTCTCATTATCAAAGTTTTCTTCTTATCTCTCTGCTTGCTCTTTAACAACCTGCTGCTTGTCCTTTATCCAATTCTTAAATATTGGAACCCCACTGAGCTGAGCCCTCTTATTGAGTCCCGTCATATACACTCTCCTAGGTGGTCTCATCCTCTTCCAGTAGCTTCAGATACCCTCACCGAAGACTGTTCATCCTATAACTCAAGCCTAGGTCTTGCTCTTTAACTCTGGAGTCATATTTCTAACCTCCATTACTACAGTTTCATTTGGACGACCGGAGCATGTCAAATTCAACCTCTATATCATATTCCCTCCAAAACCCTCCTCTCGTAGCCCTGGGATCAGTAAAGGGCATCCTATTCATCTACTCAGTGCAAGCCAGAAACCTAAGATGCCTCTGACACACATCAGAATCACCTAGAAATGTCTGTCTGAAAACATTGGATTTGTAAACTTTCTCCATTCTTATGGCCACTTTTCCACACCCTACTCCAGTCTAAGCTATCTCATCTCTTGCTTTAAGTACTGCAAATAACTATCATCCAGGTCCTACAAAACTACTCTTGGCTTACTCCAATTCATTTGCTGTACTGCAGCAATACATACAGCAGTTTCAAAAATACAAATCTGGTTAAGTCACTACTACCCTGCTTGAATTCCTTCAGTGGTTTTCGGTTTTCTTTTTTTTTCCTACTGTAGGCTCTCACCTCACATGACATTTCCTTCCCCTGGAATTCTTTTCTGTCACCCACTCCTCCTAACCAAACTAATTTTCTTTTCTGATTTATCATACCTGTAATTATTTGATTCATGTCCATATAAGTAAGGTGTGTGCAGGTAGGGACCATGTCTGTCTTGTTCACCAACTCTTCCTCTCCCTTTCATTCCTAGCACCAGCACAATGCCTAGAATGTAGTGGTACTCATTAAACATTTATTGAATAAATAATGAATATCTGTGTGGTTTCTGGATAAGTTCCTTAATCTTTGTCGGTTCAAATCCTGGCTCAGCCACTTACTCGCTATGTGACTCTGGGCAAATTATTCGTTCTTGTGCTTCTGTATTCCTACCTGTAAAATAAAGATGGTAATAGCACCTACATCATAGTATTGTGATAATTAAATGAGATCATTCATGGAAAGTATACTTGGAACAAAGCTTGGTGTGTATTAAGTGTTAATTAAAATGTTGCCTATTACTAGCTTTTACTTGGATATCTCATCCTTGGGTCAAATACATTTCAAAATTGAGTTTATCATCTCCCTGCTCTTCTTCTTACCCTGGCCCTATACATGATACCAAATCTTGGAATTATTCACTCCTATATTTCATATAAATAGCCTATATTTATCACCCATCAAATATGGTTATTTTTTATTTTAAAATTTCCCAATATTCTTCCTTTATATTCACACTGACCTTAATTTAGGCCCTATCTCTTTATGTCTTAGTTACTTTGCTAACTTCTTAGGTGCTTCCTGACTGTAGGCACACTTCCCCTATTCACTTGTGTCCTACTGTCAGACCAGTGGGCCTCAAAACAGTTATTAAATCATGCATTCTTGACTTCCCTTCTGGCTTCTCTTTTCACTTCATTTTGTTCATTCACTCATTTATTCAGTCATCCATTCATTTAAGTACAAGTTATTTTACTAAATATTTGGGGTACACTTCAGATTTGAAATCTAGTCTCCCAGTTTCGTATATTTTGGTCGAGCATCTACATAAACCATAGAAATGAAATCTCAAACTGTCAACATCTATTTTTCGGGCGGACTTGGAAGCTACCCCTTTTTTTGACTCAATTTTTCAATTGGAGAATATGGTCAATATTGGGGAAATTAAAGTAGAAAAGATCACGATGATATAACTTGACATAGTATAAGTGCCTCAAGAGAGGTCCAGAAAGGAGGAAGGTCTCATGAGATGGATTATTAAAAGCTTCAAGGAGAAAGTGATATTTGAGAGCTTTCTCTAACCACGGCTTCCTTTTCCTGTTATTTTTCTCTCTTGCTTCTGTTGAACCTGACTTTCACCCTCACTACAAACTGAAGTTCTATGAACACTGCCTATTGTAGTTCACCTCTCTTAATTTGCTTTTCTACCTTATCCCAAGGCCATGGTGACCTTTCTCATTTATTCTAGAAATATCTGTTGAGCACCTTACTTTGTGCCATGTTCTCAGAAATGGGATCAGTGTTATCAATGTTATTAATGCTGATGAAATAATCATGTGATTTGAATTGTACTTTCCAATTAGTTTTCCAACAGAGCACTGATCTGTTACAATTATTCCTGGTCTGTTTACCAGTTACGGTTCCCATGTAAATTAATATATTGCTTCTTAAAATTAATCTTAAATAATAACATACAAAAAAAATACCCTCTTGACTTTCACTTCTTCCTGTAGCTACTGTCTCATTCCCTGCCCCGCTCCCCGCGCCCCGCTCCACTCCTGACCTATGGATGTTGCCGTTTCCCCTTAGGAACTGGATCTCTGAAGGCGGGGCATCTCCTCCCACACGTTCCGTTCGCAGCTGACAGCAGCTTACACCCGGGGCCTGGCACGCTACTGTCTCATTTATATTTGTTCTCTTTACAGTAGATATCCTTGAAAGAATACTCTATTCACTGCCCCACTTCCTTTTCTCTCATTTTCTGTTAAATCCACAGCTCTTGCCTCCAGCATTTCACCATGCAACTTCTCTCCATGTAACTTAATCGTATGGCCTATTCTCAGTCTTCATCTCAATTGACCTATCAGCAGCATTTGACACAGTTGATCACTCCCTCCTCCCTGTAACACTTCATTCACTTGTTACACATGTTTCTTCAGGGTTACAGGATACTTCTCTCTCCTGGTATTTGTCCCATGCTACTACTGGTCACTGTTCTCAATCCTCTGCCCACCTCTTAATATTGGAATGTCCCAGGACTCTGTCCTTAGTCCTCTTCCATTTCTGTACTCTCTTAGTGATCTCATTCAATCTTATGGCAATAGATATGATAAATATGCCCACAACTCCCTAGTCTCCATACTTGTATATCCAAATACCTCAGCATCTCTACTTCGATGTTTAATAGACCTCTCCATTTGATTACGTTACGTTAAAAACTAAACTGATTGCCCTTCCCTCAAAAACTTCTACCTACAACCTTGTCTATCTTACTCAGTTAACAGCAACTCCATCATTTCCACTGCAGAGGCCAACTCAGCAACTCGTTTACCCACACAATCTGTCATCAAATCCTGTTGCTGTCTTTTCAAAATATATGACCACTCTCTTCATGTTCACTGATACTATCTCGGTTCAAGCCATTGTAACATTTGACTAGGATTTTATATCAGCCACCCTTAACCTTCATTCTTTCCTCATTACAGCAGCCAGTG